CCCTTTGGCCAAAGCATCTAGGATGCAATAAGGATGAAGTCACCCATGCTGTCTCTGGGCACCTGGTTCATCAAATTGTAGCGGACACTTACTGAATGTCTTTTGGCTTTTGAAACCAAGCAATTGCATCTGCGTTGGAGCCTTGCATTCACAGGTTTCATGTTGCTACAAGAGAGATACCATTCTCCATCAGATTTTGTAAAACTCCCTGTTTAGCTCTGTCTTGATGAATGATTAAAAAACTCTTATATTTTGCCAAATAATTTACTATAAAGATAGATATGTCCAACAAGTTATGCAATTACCATTATTAATCAGCTTGTGTCTTTACAAGATCAAGGGAATCTTATTTTACACTGGAATTTTTAGCTGATGAGCTGGATTCATGCAGTTTCTTTCCCTCCTCTTTAGAGAGGGATAGAAGGGAGTTAATTCCGCCAATGCTTCAAGAGACCAAATATCCCCCATTTATTAATTAATAATATCCATCTGGATTATGTCAAATGATTCCCCCTGTATTTCCATGGATTTTTATCCAAAGAAAAAACATTCTGAGCCCTGTTGTATCAATTTTAAAATCTTTGGAAGCCCGACTGTTCTTTCCTTGTTTCTAGCACCTACTAGTTACAAGACATCAGGAATGCGAGCAGAGGACAGATGATGGGAGGAGGCTGTGTTTGTGAAATCTTCTTTTGATGTGTGGGAACAACCAAAGTAGAGTTCTCAAAAGCCACTACAAGCCAAAAAAAGTCCTCTGACACTGAACATCTCAAGAAGATGAAAACCTTCCTCCCGTTTCCATTGTCCCTGGCCTGAGCTTTTGATCTGACGCAAGAAATGTGGTATGTGTCTGAAGTTTAGAAAGTTTATGCTGGCAAATAGAAAAGGGGGAGGTGGGTTGAGTAAGCTGGGACTGAGCTTCAGGCACATAACACTAAATGTCCCTGCTGAGGGCCCTACGCATGAGCGGCCCCACAGTGAAGAGCCAGGCTTTGAGCCACAGGAGAAAAGCGAGCGCCAGATCCTGTACAGAGGTGAGCCCGGCAGCTCTATGGGACTCGGAAGACTCTGGGGTGAGTTTTGCAGGCAATAATCTCTGCCGCTGGCGTTGGCCTGCAAGCTCCTTAGCCAGTGCAGTGCCTCATCCCTCCTGCATTCCCCTCGCCTTCACACGCCATCTCCTACGTCAAGCCCGTCTCCTGCTGCGGTGTTGGCAGGAGATGTGGCCCCATTTCAGTTGTTTCCAGCTTTCTGACCCAGTTCATCTGCATCTGAGAGGTGGGGTCTGGAAACCAGAGACAAGCCCTCATGCCGGTGGGACCTCTGTTGCCAGAGGCTTCGGTTCAGCGCGTCCATTTAGGCTCAGATTTGAATTTTTGCTTCCATATGTGCAAAAAGACAAAAGCCTGAGTGTTTTGCTGAGTTGAGGCCGTCCTTCACCTTGTGCAATGCAGCGCAAACCAGGCAGGAAAGATCTTTTTGTCTTCTGCAGGGATCTGCCCTGCTGACACCGCAGGCAGCAACCACAAGCGCTGTCCTTCAGCTAGTTCTCTGTACCTCCTCTGGTTGGTTGGGTGACTAGCATTACCCATGGCATCGAGACATATTTCATTTATATGGTAGCACTAGAATATTTGCTGCCTCCATGCTTCATGGAGGTACAACTTTTACATTGGAAGTGGTAATAGCAACAGGGGTGGGCACTGCTTGCAATGAGGATTTCCAATGAAACCCACACGTTCTTCTTCACTTGGTGTTATCCCTCTCTCTACCTCAACCTTATTGACTAGAAAATACCAAGACCTTAATATTGAGACTTTAATGCATTGCACATTTTGCTAATTTGCTTTCTGGCTGTGAGCCTCTGTGGTATCATTTTCCAGCAGTTTACTCAGAGGGCTAGAAACTTTTTTTGTTTAATGAAAGTGGGAATTCTCTTCAAGTCCCTTGACTACGGCAATGGCAGCCTTAAGAAAAACAGAACGTGACAGAAAATAGATGAATGGCTCCAGTGCTATTGCAGTAATGTGTAAGGACCCCGTTCGTGCTATGTGCTGTGCTAGCTTATGAGAGGACACTCCTTGTTGAAAGAACTGTGTATAGTTTGAGATTTTGAATGTGACTATCCCTCCTGCTTTCCCTTCTTTAGTTTGGCTCTGTGGATCTCATGGATGTGAGAGCTCTCTTCTTTCTACTTTATTTCTTTTGGGCACTTCTTCAGTCCTAATCATAAAAACTAGAATTTCTCAGCAATTTCAAGTCTGGAGACTTCCTGACTTCTATCATTTTGTGCCCAGGGAAAATAAACTTTTTGCTGTGGTTTGAGCCTTAATGATTGCTAAGTATATATAGTCAATTTATAAAAGAGCATACTGGATTATTCTGTGCATGCCTTTAAATATTTTACAGCGTTTATCAGCGGAGCGCTCATTTAAAACATGTTGTTTTAATGAAAAGGATACCATTGCCACTGTTTTGTGTTGATTATGTGGTAACACATTTTTATTATCACCCATAAAAATGATTTGGAGCTGTTCCACTCCAGATGCAACCTTGAGCAGAGCTGCGCTAGTGCTGCTCGCACTGCCCGGGAGGGCCCCGGACCCCTGCAGTTTGCTGGTCTCTGACCGTTGCTGCTATTGATTTAATATCACCTCTTCCCACAGCTGGGCTGCAGCAAAATACTGTCCAGGACAGCCCTTGTCGGTCCCTTCCTTACAGCGGAGCATCCTAACACTGCCCTGGCTGTAGCCCCTCTAATTTGCCACCTCCAGGATTAGTTTTGCCTCTGAGGTCACTTTGGCAACATCCAGGTGTTTTGGTGGGGAAGTGAGAGAATAATATGATAGTATAAAGTGATTCAGAAAAGGTCTTCAATGCAGGCTTGAGTCCCGTGTCACTGGGAAGCATGATTTTGGTAAGGCACATGCTTAAGTGTTTGTTGAACTGGTAGCATATTTCCTTGCAAGTCTGACAAATAAATTATTGGGTAGAAGCACAGAAGCGCATGAGACAGACTGACCAGATTCCTTCCTTACCTGGCATCAGAGAAGTCTGTTGAATAAAAGAATTGTGACCTGGTTCCTTTTTGCCGTGTTACTCAGAAAGCAAGACTCTGGATCCGTGAATAAAGATCCTTGCAATAAAGGAAGAATTTTGCTTGTTTGCAACAGCTGAGGTTCAGTTCCCGTGCACTTAACCTAGCTCCCAGTTTAATTAGTTTCTGATTCACCCCTGTCAGGCCAGTGCATTCTGCAGGAAGTTCATCATTTCTGGCACTGCTGCAATACTGGCTCTCACCATGCCTTGTAATAAATAAGTGATAAACCTTGTAATAATTGCAAGCTAAACAAACGGAGCCAAGTCACTCTCATTTATAATTGCAGTGTGACTTCATTATGTAAAGACAACACAGCATGTAAAAGCTGAAACTTCTAGGGATTTAGTGGAAAGTTTGAGCCGTATTCTCTTTTATTTCCCTTATCCCTAAATCAGTATTTGCTTAGGTGGTTTCCAAACAGGAAGAGACAGTGCTGTAACAACCCGCAGCATTGCACTCCTTGAATGATTTTCCCATGTAGCTTTGTGCTTAGAGAGCAGACTCTGCTGGAGGTGCTGGATGCTTGGATCAAAACTCTGGTTCTGGAAACGGCAGCCCTGCTCCTGCCTCCATCCTGCGTCCACCCTGGGCAGGCAGCTTTGCCAGGGACTGATGCAGTGCAGGTGAGCGCCAGGGTTGCTGCTGCGTCCCACACATGGCTGGTGCAGGGGCTGCCGACCCTTTGGCTGTCCCTCCAGGAGAGCGGGTGCTGCCCTTGGCCTCTGTTTACCATCTGTCTGGCAACTGGGGTGAAATCCATTTGGCAGCAGAGCACATGGGCTTGGCTCTCCAGGTCAGCGCTCTCGAGGGGTTAGGCTTTTACAAAAGAAATCTTTAGACTACTTTGTTATGCCACCCTTGCTTTGTGGCTGGGAAGGCAAGGGGATGAAGCATTTAGATTAAAATAGAAATATATGGGGTTTTTTTTTTATGACAACTTTAATTAAAAATGTTGATTATTCAGTGCAAGAGTTTTCCCTTGGGCTCCACTTTACTGGGGTTTGTCAGTGGGCAGAGTCCACCTGGGTCCTCCATCTCTCTACTTCTTGTGGGCATTGAGGTTTTTGCAGGCATGTTAAAGACTAACTTCCAGTTTCGTACGGGCCACCAGTGGCTAGGGCAGCACAGCTTGATGAACAGCAGTCTAAATCATACGGGGAAAATGGGGTCGCTTTGCCAAGGAGCTTAGGTTGTAAGTGGCCCAAAAAGCTCAGGGACGCACATTGGGATGTGGATTTGTTTGAAGGTAGTGTGTTTACAAGGTATAGAAACAGTTCTGAGTTTTAATAATATCCTGTTACTTCTAAGTAGAGCTCTTTAAGGAAATTGCCTGCCTTTTTTTATTCACTCCAAAATTAAACTACTTCAACTCTTTAAAAGGTTCATATTCTCCATCATCTTTAATTTGGTCAGCATTTGTTCTTTGAGTTACAACCAGTCTGTGTCCTGAGGCACCTCAGTTTGCTACCCTGGGCATCCAGGGTACAGCCGTTCACCTTGTACCAGCTCTTAGTAATTTCTGACCTTATGACTCTGGATTTAAACACATCACCTAGCAGTGAAACGCGGTGTCCCCTAACAGCAGCTCTGGTCCCTAGTTTCATGTTTCTCACTAAGGAGACAAGCCCGTGTGAGGCTAAGTCTCTCTGGAAGCAGGGAAGCCCTCTCCAAGGAGGGCGTATGCAGGACCCTCTTGCAACTTAACCCAGCAGCTTCCTACGCTAATTACTGCTGCTTTCCAGAAAACCAAGAGCTTTAACACCAAAACCCTGCAGTCTGTGATGCAGTTATTCCCAGCTCCTGCCGACAAGGAGAGGAGTTTCAAGACCTCTTCAGGATTGAGACCGTGTATGAAACTAACCCACTGACCTTGTTTGCCTTCCCCGTGTCCCCCGTCTAGATCCTTCTGCTTGAGGCTGCAGAGCGAAGCCCACCGTTGGAAAACAACCTGCCAATCACTGGGACAACAGCCACGTGGTATGACGATTTGTTACCAGATGCCTTTCCTCTGCTGAATCCTGGGACTGTCCTGAGAAAAACAGTGGGATCTGTCGGTAAGCTTAACCTGCTCTTCACCAAATCACCCATTCTGCATACACGATTCCCATAGGGTAACTAAAAAGGAGGCTGTGTCGGTCTGCCGTAGTATTGGAGACTGCAGGGGAGGGGGGTTGGAGGGAAACACTGGCAGCTCCTTCCCTCTCTCTGTAAAGAAGAGGGTTAAGATTTTCAGATGGACAATTCCTCTCTTTTTTTGTGGGCACATTAGCTGCTGTGTGTTTGACCCAGCAGGGAGCCGTTGACGGTAGCGGTTGCATGGTGCTGCGTGATGAGTGCAGGGCAAGCAGCCTTGCTGGCACGGGTGGCTCCGTGTCTGCGCTTTGCTTTACACCCTCAGCAGGGACACCATAGCTTTGGTTTTTGCAGATGCTCGCTGCAAGATGGGATTGTGCTCAGCAGACGGAGAGGTGTTTTGAGAGCTTTCAGCCTCTCTTTTAGAGTCAGAATTGGCATTATTTAGCTCTAGAGACAGGATTCCTGCACACCAGGGGCTGTTCAGTCTAAAGGTCTCATGTTGCCTCTTGTCCCTCTCTCTCTGTTGAGCTGTGAATGCAGAGATGGTTGCACACCAACATGCATGCGGACTCAATGGATGAAGAAGGAATTTAATCTTCTCTGATCCCACCACAAAGCATCCTTTTACCTGCAGCAAGCTGGGCACAATTTCCTCAGGGCCCCTTCCCACTGCCCGGGCAGGGATGAGGGTCACCCCTTTGCAAAGAGAGGGACTTTGGGCTTTTCTCTCCATGTCTCTGCCTCTCCTTGAGTTAAGCCAGCACAGAGCAGGCATGTTCCTGGAAGAAAGCAGCTAAGCTCAGAAACTAACATATTAACCTCCATTTTGCCAGCCTTAATGGCCCGTTCTACCCTTGATTTCTGTTGGCACAAGCATCTTCTGAGAGCTGAATTCTGGTTGTGGGAAAATTAGATTTCTTTTAACCAAAGCAGGGCCACTATGCCTGCCTGTGTGTTTCAGTGTACATGTTTTAAGTCCAAAGACTGTGGATTTTGAGGCCTAGATAGATCGAAACATTCCTGAAGAAACTCCAGAGAGCCATTGGGATCACAGGAGGACAATTTATAGTCACTTACCGAGCACCAAATGCAGTGTTTCCCCATCTGGGAGCAGTGCAGGGAGGCAGAGGACTGGGGTGTAGGGGTAATTTTTGGTTTTATTAGGAGGAAAAACTTTCCCATGAATAGCAACATCAGTTGCAGTCTGCATTATATTTTTTAAATTTACCATAAACACAATGGGCTGTTTTATGATCCCTCTTGTGGCATGAAAAAAAAATACACTTATAAGAAAATCTTCCTCTGAGCCCACTTGGCTAGACAGATCCCCACGCATTGAATTTCCTTGACCTTGGCATTCTCATTTCAAGATCCCCATTCTCTGCTTCCAAAGCCCTGTCTGTCAGTTGTTTTGCTTGCTCCCAGAGCAGTTCTTTAGTTCCTTATCCTCTATAGAGCCTACTTTACTTTTTTTGCTTTTTTCTTCTTTTTTGCCTTTTTGTTTTTTTTTTTTTTTATCTGAGCAGTTTATTATGGCAGCCCTTCATGACTGTAGCAGACTTGGAGCAATCAACATAGACCAGATGTCGTCCATGTTTATAATTTGACAGGATGCCACAACATGGAGGGAGGTTCACTAACAATATGTTCTGCAAAGTATTTTCAGAACCACAGTGATGGCTGCCAGGAACTGAATTAAAGCAGTTTCCCCCAGTGTCTATTATATGCTCATTCTGCCTTCTCCATGTCATTTATTTTTGCTGTCACAGTATCTCTGCACCTGCACTTCATTGTACTAAAGTCAATCCAGCAAAAGTGCTGATGACTCTGTCCCTTCCGCTCAAAGGCCTCCTCTCTTGGAGGCTCCATACGCAATAATCTCTCGTTCAGCAAGAGCAGTAAATGCCACTCACCCAGGCAGTGATGCAAACCAGAATGGATCTCCTGTAGTGCTTGCATCAGGCTGACTGGTCCAGCACCCTCCACCCCTGCAGTAAATCCAGGAGGTGCCTAGTGGTCACCTCCAAAACACAGATGATGTTGTCTGAGTTTTACGTGAGTCTGTCTTGTCAGCCAGACTTCCAGGCTGTGTGTTACAGCCTGCCTGCGTGCTGCCAGGTGTAGTCCTTCCTCCCATTTACCGTTTATTTTTCTAGCTTTGATTTCTTTAACCTAGTGTGGAATAACAACTCTAGAGTAGTAACTGGGAATCAGGCGTGCACTGGACCGTTTCAGGTCAGGACAGTGTCTTTCAGCAATTAGAAGTAATTGGTTAAGTCGCTTATTGACATGTGTTTGCATGCTCAAGCCCCTACGCAAGCTCTGTGGGCTTCAAACGCTTGCTTTGCTAAGGAGCTGTGGGGATGTTTCATGGATCTGGGTCCACATTTGGCTTCCTTCCCTGCACACACCAGTTTCTATCTACAATTCAAAGCCAGCCAAAAAAACCGCACTGTGGATTTTGGTGAAATGTAGGGAATTTCACGCAGTTGGTTTAGGATGGTGGGGGACTGCCCGTTTTGCATGATTTCAACACTGTACTGTGACTTATTGCTCAAAGCTGTCCCCAGGGTCTCTTACAGAGATTGCAGACCTTGGGAGATCTTTCAACAAGCATGATATTAGCGTAGGTGGAAGTCAAACCTGAGTGTCCTGTGTGGTTTGGGGTTGTGGAGAGCTAAGCTTCTGTCCCTCCCATCCCCTTCCCCAGAAGTTTTTGTGAAATATTGCCTACTTTGCCCTGCTTCTAGTTTTTCAGCCAAAGCAAATCCAAATCCTAGCTTGTGTGCCACCAAGCTTCTCAACCGGATGGACTAACGGCAGAACATTGGTGCCTAACAGAAAGATGGTTGATACAGACTAGATGCTGTGAACGGTGGGAATGTTTCTGGATGACCTTATAGCTCTGGGTTGGCTGACACCTCTCCAGGCTGAAGTCCAGGAAAACATGCTACTGTTTATTAGGGTAGTTATTTCTTCTGTGAGTGACAGGCCTGAGAATAGACAATCATTTAAAAGCAATCAGAGCTGTTGAGACAGCTGCACTGCTGGCCTTTCTGATCAGCTTGTTAATCAACAGGATACATTTTACTGAGTATTAAGAAAATATATATACTCTGGCTGAGCCAGTTGGCAGCAAGAGACCTAATTTTTCATATCTGTTTCCTTTTATTTTTTTTTTTTTCACCCTGACCCTCTTAACTAGAGCCTAAAGGACACAGAGGTGCAGAGGAGCAGCTAATACCACAGGGTAAGTCAATGGTTCCTGCTGTTTTCTCTTTCAAAGCACAAAATATTGCGGTGCCCAGTATATGTGTTCCAAAAAACAGAAGGGTCCTGTGGTCAGGAGTCCTCAGTGATTCGGAGCCTCACCGATACAGAGAGGCTGGGTTTTTAATTTGGGTTTTATCTGATCATGGGCTGCTCTGGTTAGAGGTGCAATGCCAGCTTTATCGTCTTTGAGACATTCAGTTCCCCCAGCACACAAAGGACGGAAAGCGCTGCCCGATGGAGAGACAGTTCACTGGAGGACACATGGCTGGAGCGAGCAGGATATGTGCTGAGTGATGGGAGAAAACGCTGTTGTTACCTTACTGGTATTGCCTGCCAGGGGCACGAGAGCTGCTGGTGATGTTTCGGGCTTCGTTTTGCTGAGCTCCATACAAACAGAGAATACCTGCTCCTGTACAGAGAAAACCTGGGGGAAGGAAAGGGAACAGATGGTGTGTAGCAGGTTAATGACAGGGCCAGGAAGAAAATCCAGCTCTCTGCACATCTGACTTGGTCTCCAGCAGTACAATACTCACCCTCTGCCTTTTTTTTCTTCCCCTCATGGCTTTTTCTTTTGTTTTGTTGGAGGATAAATACTCGCCATGGGCTGCAGCTCTCTAAAAGCAATGCCACTGCAGCAGAGCTGATTTATGCCAGCTGAAGATCTGGCCTATTCATTTCCTTCCTCCTTTTTCCCCGAATCCCTTCCTCTTTCCTCTCCCTTTTGCACTTGTCTCTTTTATGCTGGTAACACCATTTGGCACCAGTATGAGCATTTGCCTGACACATTACTCAGTGCTGCTTCTCCTAGTCTTTCCTTTAGTGCTTTCCACCTTCAGGGAAGTAAGTGCCAGTTTCTTTAAAGCTCTACTGCAGCAGTGTGATTGAGGATGCTAGCAGCAAATGATTGCTCTTGGTCTGCAGAAGTTCACAGGATTGAGTTATAAAGGTTGAACTGAAGGATTGAGGCTGATTTATACAAGCGAGGAAATGTTTTGACCCACACTCAGCAGCACAGTGTGCTGTGCTTGCAAAACAGTGTTTCTGCTGTTCTTCCCTGTGTGCTGGAAAGAATTTGCTGCAGTAAAGTTTCAGGCGTGTTGGGGGGTTTTGGTAGGGGGGAGAAGCTGTTTCCAATGCTGTGAACAAATGCTCTTGCTCTCTTAAATGGGCTCCTGATCATCTGCCTGAGCTTGCCAAGTACTGCATCCACTGTCAGGTGAGATCCATTAAAGGAGCCCCTCTATTCATAGAAAAGTCTGCAGCGTGTGTCCTCTGGGTAAGCAAATTGATCCAGATTAAAACCTTACCTTAATTCCTTGTTCAATACTCAAATTAAATCAGATCTTTATTGATGACTTAAATAAAAATACAGGCACACACATACACACAAAGCCTTTCAAAAAATCTCTGTCAGTTTCACCATGGATTAGAGATGGATAGATTTCATTTTTGTAAGAAAAACTAATTTGGACATCTCTCCAGAATGGTAAAAAAAGAAGAGAGGAAGGGGAATCTTTGGATGAATGTCTGGGGGGACAAGGTTTTGTGCCCCAGGTGGGCTGTCTCACACCTAGAGTGGGAACCGGATCCAAATGTGGGAGCTGCAAACTCTGTGAGCCTTGTTTTTTATTATGTAGCCCTGTTCCCTTTGGTACCAGCTGTGGACGTGTTAGTTGGCCAGCTTATTTCCTTTTTTCCTTCTCTCCCTCTATTCCCATCATTCTTCTCCACCCCCTACATGCAGCAGGTTCTCCTGGCACTGCTCTTGGAGCATCTAGTACCTCTTCTGATACCAGGGAAGGAGAAGGACACTGCTTCAGAGTTTATCAAAACTTAACTTGCACTCTGCTGGTTATGGCCATACTTAATAGACAGACTAAAACTTGAAATCTGAGTGCACTGAACTTTGGACTCAAAACAGATCTTCCTCTGGCTTTGTAGCTTGCATCTGCCACTACTTTCAAATACTCAAAGCCTTTTGGTAGCCCAGAAACCAGGAACCTCTGACTCTTTTGGCTCTGACAGTTAATGCCTTTATTGTAACCATTAACCACTTAATCCAAGTAGACAGACTAACTCGCACACCTCTCTAAGGTATTAAAGGCTTCGCTGATGTTTGCACAGTATTTGAGTGTGTCTTTCCAAAGCAGCTACTATTTTTGTGAGCCAAAGACGCATGGTGTTTTTCTGAAAAACACTATAAAATTGCCAAGTGTTGTTAGTATTTTGATAGTCTAAAGAAAACAACATTAAAATTTTATTTAGCGTCATCAGAAATAGTCGCTGTCAGATTACAAATGCTGCCTGCAACTTTCGTAGGCATACTGGGGGTCTGAGTGGACTTGCCAAGAAGCATCCCACTGGGCTGTAATTATTGTGTTACTGGTATTTCCAGATGGGTTTGCTCAGCACCCTATTCATTGACATAAATTAGTAACATCCAGTTACTTCAAAAGTGTGGGTGCATTAATTTCAGTTTGGGATGAAAAATGCTTGTGCACAGCGTGGTACACTTGTTAGATGAATGACAACAGGAGAAAACAGGGAAACATCTTTGATGCCAAATCTCTGGGTGGTATGTATAGATCAGCCAGAGCAAGTGCGAGACAGGGTTTGATTTGCTTTTGTAAATATATTTTGTGTATTTTGATACATTGGGACTACCATGGAGCTGACACAAGTGTCTGGATGCAGCTAGTGAAGGAGTGCTTGAGGCACCAGCCAGATCCTGCCCAGAGCCATTCAGACCTTGGGGACAGTGGGGGCTCAGTTTAGCTGTGACCAGCACATCTCAGCTGGAGGTGCACATCCTGCTGATGTTTTGGGGTGGGCCTTGTGCATGGGGACATGCTTGTTTATTTAACAATTGGAGGAAGAAGAGAAGCAAGGTCCAGTCTGGCTCTTTTGTCCTATATACCAGCCAGCTCTTGCCACCAGTACCACCCTGTCTGTGCAAAGCTGTACTTCTCCCCCTTGCATCTTTGAGTCCCTCTCCTCTGGTTTCTAGGTTGCTAAAGACCTTCCGACCTCAGCAGTGTCCTAACCTCCAACTAATTTCCTTTCTGAATGTTTCCAGGGCTGCCAGGACAGGTTGGTCCTCCAGGACCAGTCGGACCAACTGGTCTTCCAGGACCACCAGGGCCAAAAGGAGAGAAGGGACAACCTGGTGAGAGGGGCCCAGCAGGGCCACCAGGTAAGTCCTGGAGGAGGGCAGTGCTACCATGATAGGAGAGATTTCAGTTTATACAAATTATCTGTGACAACAGATCATAAAAGGCTGGACATACAAGGTGCTGAGCATCTTCAGTTGGCATTGAATCCATTCAGCAAGTCCCCTGGGCACGGAAACCAGCCAGCAGCTCTCAGAGCAGGCAACCACCTGCACAAGCAATGACAGTCCCTGGGATTTCCCGTGGAGCTGGAGAGAGCTTGTCCAGAAAGCTGCAGAGCAGGATCATGTTTCCCCATCCTGCTCAGGAGCTGTAAAAACCAGTCTCTGATGTGTCAGCCTTTGGAGAAGAGCGTTCCCTGTTTAACCCTCTCACTGTGTGCCTGTTGTAACTTCCTTTTTTCTCCACCATTTGTGTCAAGCTGTCAGATGTCAGGATGTCAAACGAATGATGCTTTTGTATGTTAAGGGAAAAGGTTATGAGGCCATTCTTTCAGAGTACAGTCCATTCCTGAGCTAGGAGACTTTCTTCATCCCCAAAATGTTCCTAAATCTTTTGATGAAGGCGATACTACACAATAGGTGCCAGACCTCAGGCTCTGTGCTTGCTATGTGTCTAAAAGGCTGTGCCTTGTAAATCCAAGCTCAGGAAAGATCTGAAACTCGGAGCGTGCCTTAAACGTGAGAGCGGCCCTGAATACTTTTTGGCATTTTCTGGCAACCTGTCAATGGCTAAAGTCTGGCCGAGGATGTGTCTGCCTTTTGGTTTCTCAGTTGGCCACGAGAGCCTTCCAGCTCCACAGGAAGCGGAATTGGTCTGCTGCTGGACTGCCTGGATTTCCATTGTTCTTTCTGTGCTGTCCTGGCAGTAACGGGACATACGGGTGTATGTGGAGGGGAACAGAAAGAATGGCGCTGGATTTCACACCCTGCTCCCTTCAGTTTCTTGCTCAGTCTCAGGGAGGGGGCAGATTTTACTCTTTCAGGAATTAAGCTTTGTAGCACCTTTGAGCCAAGTAAGGCTATCTGCTTTGCAGAGGAAGATGGTAAAGGCACACAATGGAAAATTGGGAAGCTGTTCCTATTTCTCGCCCTGCCTCCTAATTCCCACAATTACAGTTCAGCACAGAAATCCTTTGTTGTCTTACTGCCGTTTTACATGGTAGCATCATTAGCACATCTTCAAATGCACTAACACATCCTCTCCTGCCTCCACACAGGGCTGTTGGGACCTCAAGGACCAAGAGGACTTCCAGGAGAAACCGGGATCCCAGGTCCCCCAGGTCCTCCAGGGCCACCAGCCACCCCAAGCCTTCCTCTTACCTTCCAACAAGGGGTTCTCTACTCACTCCAGCCCACGGCTGAAAAAGAAAGTAAGTTTCCCCCTCAGTTCCCATTTTTTTCTCGTACATCAGCAGAGTAGGCAGGCACAGAGCAGCTCACCTCTTCCTGCCATCTCCCAGCCAGACTCTGCCAGGGCCCTGCCTTCCCTGGGAGCAGCTAGACAATCTGCCTCCATTGTGTGGGCCTCCTGGAAGAGAGAATTTCAAGATGAAACACATAAGGCTTAGAAGCTAGAGGGGTTCTCCTTGCCAAAATGAGGAACTAAGTCACTGCTCTTCTAAAACCATCAGTGGGAACAGGGGTTGGGGGATTTAAGGTTGTTCCCTGTGCCTGGTTTTCTGGGTTCATCATAGCTTTGAGGAGGCACCTTAGTGTCCTTTAAGCTTCCATCATGAGTAGCTGCTGAGAAGAGGGTCTCTAGTGAGATGACAGAGCTCAGGTAGCATCACATGAGAGAGAAGTGGGTGGAGAAATATAGCAGTCTGGCTGATTAGGTGCTGGTGGAACAAAACTGCCTGTTGAGAGACCTCTTGGTGCCGCTGTTGCCATCTGACAGTGCTCAGGGTTGCTCAGAAATGAGCACCAAAGGTTTGCAACTCTGAAATTATATAACATAACAAGGACATCTGTTAAATGCGTCTGTTTTCCTGCCCCCGCAGATGCGTCTTCCACCTGCGTTTCTGGTGCGTCAACATTATCCCACATCCACGCAAAGCACAGAATTATGGACTTGAAAGCCCAGACCAAGGCAGTGATTTATCCCTTCCTTATAACTGGAGGGTCAGTGTTTCTTTGAGCCTATGGTGATTTAAAAATATATTTATTTGATTTGTGCTGTGTGTGGCAAGAAAAGGCTTTCTAGGAAAGGCACATTATACACTTTTATCTGAGTGCTCTCAAATTTGGGCTTGATTCTTCCAGTCCAGTCTTGGCCTGGCTGGCATCTAAAGCAGAGCTCAGCTGTATCTCCACTTGGCTTGTAAACCCCTGGAGGCCCAGCTCTGTTGGGTCTCCCATCTCCACTCCCCCAGACTTCATCTGTGCCTCTTCCCCAGCTCTTCTGCTCACATCCAGCTTCAAAGCTCAGTTGCGTTAGTTCCCGCCAAGGATCAGTAAGTGTCCCTGTGTCTGATAGTTTTCTAGATCTCTCCTTTCCCTTCCACCCACTCTGCTCTCCAGACTCCTTTTCCCAAAAATGAACAGATGTCTTTTTAGTTTGGGAACAATTTTAACAGCTCGATTGCATATTGAGTTACGTAGAGCGTATGGGAAGGATGAAATTAATTGTGGTTCAATACTAAGATTTTCAGAAAATGTAGACTGAGCTGCTGCATTCACAAGCCTTTTAACACTGAAGTTTTGCATTATAGTCACCTCACTGCCTTACAGGATCACACCAAATGGTGCCATCCCACATTCAGCCTTTTATTCCAAAGGATCCTTAAGGATGGTTTGGGTACTGCTGCTGCCCCCTTCCTCCAACTGGCCTTTAAATTAAACTTTCTTCCAAAGTAGTGGATAAATTAAATTTAAAAGTATATAAAGGCATTGCTTACGTGGCCTTACCGGCTGATGTGTGAGAAGGGTGAACTCTGTATTGTCCCAAAATGGGAAATGGATGAATGAGTGGATAAATATCTGTATTAACTCTGCCAGTACTGGGCAGCAACAGGTTCCCACATGGACTTGAGTACCGTGAGTAAATGGTGACTGTCACATCTCTGGGGCAGCCCTGTAGTTATCCCCCATATCTGTGGTGAATTTCGTGGTTTGCAGAAGGAGTAGCCCAAAACTTTTTGACAACTTTTCTCGTTTTAAAATTTTTTCTTATTACAAATCTCACTGCAAGTGCAAGTTATCTATGTGATAAAGTTACAGCAACATCAAGACCATTTTCTCACAAAACTTACCATTTTGCTTATGTGTTGGCTGATTTTGTCTGCGAGAGGTGGGTGGAAGGCTGATCCTCTATAACCAATAAAACTTAGCCTTGTAAATTCTGGGTAGATTTTTTTTTTTTAATTTATTTTGAATGGACCACATCTGAAAACTATAAATGCAAGATTCCAGCTGCTGACAGCAGAGGGAAGCATATTCCTGGTAATGAGCATGTGCACCCACAAAGATGGGAGAAAGCTGTATCAGATTATTATTAGTAGTACAGTGTTTTGTTCCGCCTGAACGTGGTTAATGCATGGGCCTTTATTAATCGCAACAAGTTCCTGTTGGCAATGTTTATCAGCAGGCAGAAGCCAAAAATGGGTAGACAAATATTTTCTCACAGTTTCACTGTGCTGTGGTAAAGAAATTGGTCCCAGTTGTCTCCCTCCAGATCAGGTAGCAGAAAGAAATTAAGACAGAATTACTTCATTTCCATCCTGTCTCAACAAATCAAGCCTATAATGGGGGAATTTATCCCTTAGAAACATTAGACATAGGCCAGAAGCTAAACTGCCATACCCCACTGCTGAGGTTGCTACTACAAGGATCGCTTGCTTTCTCTGCCACTTAAAAATGAGTGGATCAGGTACGTGGTCTGGAGTCAGCTCAGTCCGCTTTCTCATGCTAAAGCTAAGACAATTTTTAGGGAAAAGAGAAAAGAATGCAACTTTCACTCTGTTGAGGGCTCTTTCCTTACATCTCAAAGATTTCAGTTTGCAAAGGACACGTAAGAGAAGGTGAACCTATTTTGCAGGGAGAGCAAGGGGAAACTGAGGCACAGCAGGCTTGCCTGTGTGCCCAGCACATCACTGGTGAAGAAGAGTGGTAGAACAGAGATTTGTGAAGTGACATCCCAGTGCCTGCTGCCACACGTAGCAATTCCTGAGGAAGGGAGAACAGAGCAGAGGATGCAAAGGGGAAAGAGAGGAAGAAGGGAATGGCATTTGATTTAGAAAACCATACCAATTGCTTTCAGGGCTGTTTATGCCCGTGTCTCTGAGATGCCTTGCCAGTCTGGCTGGGCAAGTTTCACTGCCTCATTCAGGGCATTTCTGTGCTGTTTCAGGTTTCCGCTTTGCAGGATATTTGTGCTCTCTTCCAGAGAACGTGGGTGCTCATATCTGCCCAGATCAGACTGGTTGCGCTCTTCTTCTTGGCTTGGCTATGAGTCGGAAAGCTCCTGGAGCAAATTGTGTATCAAGGTCTTCTCAAATGAGGCAGACAGTTGTCTGCCTTCTGCTTTGGTATATCCAGAAGCACTGAAACAAAATCCAGCCCTTGAGCCCACCAGAGCCTGGGTCAGCACAGGGGATGGCTGAGAAAGGAAGATTCCTGCTACCATTTGTTGCTGGAGCTGTTTTGTGGCTGCTATACCAACCTCCAGCTGCAGCTGAGGAAGGAGCCACTCTGGATTTCCTGCATGTCCATATTCCTATGCTGCCAAGACCAAATCTGGAGCTACTGATCTCAAGGGCTGTTGAGCAGAGCTGTCTTCTGTGTCACAGTTATGGAATCACCTTTCAGAAATAACTTTGAGTCAAATATCAGGATAGGTGGATTTGTGGGAGTGAATCTGTCATCATAATAATGTACCATTTAGCTGGAACGTTTTGTAACCCAAATCTTTATCCCTGGCTTATCTCCAGCAGCAATTAAATCCTGGTTGTTTGCAGCCCGTCCTCTCCCCCTCTTAGTGGATGTGCATTTGATTTTGTTGACCACTTGTTCTTTAAAAACAAAAGGCTCTGCAATTGTTAATGCCTTCACTGCTGTTCGATGCTCATTTCCCAATTTCATCTTACTCCCAAGCCGTGATGGATTTTGACATGGTCAAATAAAACTCACATTAATTGGATTACACACTTCACTTGGGTACCTTTCCTTCTGAACATGAAAACAGTCTCAGTTGTTTTGTTTCAGGGCTGTGGAGAAGGGAAGATGGAAGGGGTTAGAAACAATAGTCAAAGAAATACCTGTTTGCATTCAGGCTTTAGGCATGAGATTTGGTTCTCGGAGGAATCTGGGTTAGATCTTGTGCTGTGCTGCTGCCAGGAAGGCATTGCAGTGATATACTGTCATCTTTGGCAGTTAAAGAGATTTCACAGTTTTCCCTAGGAACTGCTTTCAAACAACTAGCTTGAAAGTCCTCTCTATCATTGCCAATGCTCCAGAAGTTGAAAAGGCTTCATAATGTATCTGCTAACATTTCTGGAGATTTCACCTTATGTCCTTCAGGCTGGACTCGGCAGAGTAAACAAACACCCTTCTGATCTGCCTGGTGTCACTTGATATTTACAGCAATAAAGCAGTGAGACATTTCCAGTCTTTTACACTTGCAACAAATTCCTCTGAATTCTACTATGATGAGTTAAAGCGATGGGTGAAAGGAAACATGAGTAAGTTTGAGGTTACAGGCATTATTCCTGCACGGTGGCCTCCAGCTATGGAAAATGTGGACTTTCAGAGGGTTTACTATCCCAGTGACCAGGAGCCAACATCTTCATCCAGGTTAAATGCAACAGGAAATATGCAGTTGGTCCTATAGGACTGGTCAGGATCATGGATTTCAAATCTCAGCAGCATCAGGACGCAGGGGTTCCCTTCCCTGCTTTGTGATCTTGTGTCTTGGTCAGTCGTGGAATTTTTTCCCTTAGGTTTTCAAAACTGTCAAACAGCATCATGGGATGCTCAGAAGAAAGGTTCTGCCATACAGCTACCCCCCCAGACTACTAGTATCCTACAGTACAGGTCCATAGGGAATACGGTTGTTGAGTATGGTTTTGGAATTGCAAAAAATAATAAGGGTTTCTTTTTTATATGAGTTCTGTTTTTTCTATTCAGTCACCAGCTGAAGTAGTAAGCCTATTGGCTCAAGTATGAGGGAAGATGGGGGCAGCTACAGGCTGCTGATTTTTATTCCTAACAGGAGAGGACGGAGAAAGATGCGCAAAAGCACAAAATTCCTCCAGTTCCTGCTGATGCCTTTCCCCTCCCTGCTCCGTTCTCATTTCCGTCCATTTCCCAGAACTCAGTGGACCTGCCCAAGCTGGCCAGTTGAACACCTAAAGTAATCCTAAATGGCAAGTGAGTTTCCTGAGTATGTGGAGGAGGCAGAGCACACCCCCTCACCAAGCTTTCCTGCATGCTCAGACCTCACGATATCTCCTACCACCACCTTCATGGCAGGGTGAGCTTGCTGGGTTGGTGGGGATATGCCAGACTGCCGGACTGGCTCGGCAGTTCACTGATGCCGGGACAGGAGGGATCCAAGTTTGATTTCTCAGGTAGCCAGAAACCAGATGTGTCTTAGAGAAGGGAATTTTTGGCTTAGTTATTGCTGCACAGTGCAGAGTTACTCTTAATCTGCTTTGGTATTCAAAGGATTATATAGATGTGCAGGAACACCCAATTTTTTGACAGAAAGGACAACTTTTCTGGTGTTGCCAGAGGTGGGATGAGCAGCTCTGGAGGTCTCGGAGATGCAGCCTGTGGCCTTAGAGAGCAAAGGGCAGTTTCTCCAAGAGCCCAAATTTTGCATCCTGAAGCACTGCCTGCCCTTAGCCAGCAACAGGCGCCAAAGGATTTTGGAGAGAAATCCTGCCTACTGGGACTGGGCAGCTCTGGCTGCAGGGACACTAATTGCTCTGCTCTTTAACACAGATGGAGAACCCCAACTGGCCTCCACCGTCATAGACACCATCATGGCTGGCCTGCCAGGACCACGAGGAGCCCCAGGCCCTGTTGGGCCACCAGGTAATAAACTCAGTTGAGCTACAAACCTGTAATGATGGGGAAGATGAGCAAAAGAAATTTCTGATGGAGACTGAAGCGGTCTGTGGGATGCCGGCAGGGAAAGCAAGTGGTCCTCATTGGAAGGGCAGTAGAGCAGTGGGTCCAGGAGTGGGAAGGGTGGCAAGAAGTAACCAGGTTTCTGTTGATAGTGGCAGATTGTTTTATACCCTTGGCAGGACACATCTTGAGAAGGGAATAAATAAAGACTATCTTTAAGAATGGGTTGTCCTGTGAATTCCTTTATGAGAGCAGAGTTGTTCTCACCACTGCTGCAATCCTGTCCTGTTGCTGTAAAGCAGGATCTGGCCAGCTGGTCTGTATGCAGACTTTGGAGCTGGTTTGAGCTATTCCAGATTTTCAATAGTATAACCGAAATCAGAATCTGGGATGAAAATTCAGTGGCAAGTCATCTTTTCCTCTGTGCTGATGGGTGGCTTAAATGATAGTGTTCCTGCAAACATCAGCACTTCCCCGTATGATGCATATTTAGAAGTGAACTCCCATTAGCTGCAGAAAAGGCTTTTCCTTTCATTATGAGGGCCTTTCATTTATCCTTCAATTCCTTTATTCTTTGACTTAAGCGTTTGTATGGTGCATTAATGATTGAGGCTGATTCAGCTGTACTTTGTGTATAATGTCCACATTGTTTCATCTCAAGGGTTGTGACAACTAAAGCAGAGAGGAGTATTGCTAAGCTCAGACTAAGCAAATATCCTGTCTCCCATTTGCAGGTATAATTTAACAGCTATTGTTGAGATATAATTACTTTTCCAAAAGGAATGAATCGCTTAAGTGACTGTATAAAACAAGTTGACCTGTTTAGACAGTGTTTAACTCCTCCTGGAAGCAGGTTCTTCTGTGGTACAGACTTTAAAAGAATTTATTGCCACTGGAGAGAGCAAAGAACAAGAGAGAGCTTTGCTTTGCTGCAGTCAGCCTCTCATGCTGGCTACATCCAAACCCTGTCTCCTTCGTGTACATCATCAACTTTCTGACAACACTAGAGAGACAGACCATGGACTTCCCCTGCCACCTATGAGACTCCGCTTCAGAAACAGCAGCTGTAGTATCTTGTTCCGATGTAGCTGTTCTGTGGATCTAGTTTAAGTTTTCTCAAAAGTTGTCATTTTAAACAATGGAAATGCTTCACGTTACTGACATCCTTCTTTCCTCCCAGAGTTCTAACATCTTCCCTGGGGCATAGGGATATATTATATCAGGATGTGGGTATCCAATAATCCAGTATGTGATGAAGCACTTATGCTGTAGTCCTGTGATCAATGAACGGCTCTTACCTTTTGAGAGACTAAGCAGAACAATGAAAGGAAGTGCGTGTGTCTGGAATTTAGGGTCCTTCCATTTAATCTCCTTAAAATTGTCTCAAATGATGATTCCCACCAGGGCCACCAGGCGCATCAGGACCCAAAGGGCCACCAGGACCTATTGGAGTCCCCGGATCACAAGTAAGGGGCTTTGTGCTTTGGGGCTGAGGGGCAGAGTCGGGTTAGGTGTGAAACATCTCCTCATTGCACAAAGAGGGAGAGTACTTCATAAGTCTTAGGTCTCGTGTTTTGTTCCCTGATTTTTTTTGATCACTGAACATTCTCTGGTTTTAATACCTTTTTTCATTCTGAATTGTGTTGAGAGGTTGAAATGGTTGAAATTATTTTCCCCTAATGATAACAATACATCTTGCTGTTGCTGTGTCAAAACACTTCACTGTGGCCTGAGTTGATGCAAAGGACTTGACATGGGCTTTACTAACACAGTGATAGAAAAATACTACATTTCCTGTGGCGCACATAAAAAGAACAAAAAGGCATCAATGGGAATTCACCAATTCACCAAAGTGAATTTGTTAAGCATACTTTTTCAGAAATAGCACTTTCTAGTCAAGAAAAATATCATAGATTCTCATCAGATGATTATTTATCAATACAAAAATTGTGGAGGGGGGAGATAATAATGGAGTGTAGTAAACTCCCTCAAAAGAATTTATAGTAAAAGAAGGGTAAAGTGCTCACATGGAAAAATCTGGTTAAATGGAAAGAAGTGAAGTCATGATGAATAGTGAATTGCCCAACTACTCAAAACTGTGGTTGGCTGATACAAAGGGACTCCAGTTTTCAGAAGAGTATTACTTAATGTGGAGGTAAACCAGTAACATCAACTATTTCAAAGGAATCTAGCATGACTAAAGAGATAAAAGTGACTGAAGAGCACAGAGAGAGAGAAAGGTTAAGTAACTTAGCAGAAGGAAGTAACTTAGATCCTGATAAGAAGAGGTCTGAAATTGCTAGAAATAGAGAAAGGAGATTTTTACTATGTATTTATTAATCACTTTGAAGAAGCAACGGACATAAGGTTAGTGAAAGTTTGCCAGTGTAGCAGAATCATTTCAATTAGTGAATGCTCTGGAGAACAATGAGGAACTCCAGATAGATATGAACACAGTGGGAAATTTGGCAGCAAAATGACAGAGGCAGTTTAACGTCATTAAATATAAGGTAATTCACAATTCATAAATGGGTTCTGTAGTAGAATCTGGCTTTTTCACATGCAGCACACATTATAAATCTTTTATTTTTTACAACAGATTTGTGGAATTCAGTGTTCTTGAGCATCCCCATGTAATCAGACACTGAAAGTCACTGTTGAGAGCTGTGAAGAGCAAAGGATGCTTATGGACACTTAAGCTTTGTTCACGCTGCATGTTTGACACAGGGCCAAGTCTGGTTTGTGCCCTACCTTGTTTGGCAGCCCTAGTTAACCTCCTAAACCAGGCCTGAGTTTCTGAATCTTTTGTGGGCCTAGAGGAGACGTAGCTAAGCTGGAGGCCAGGTCACTGTGCAGCTTGGTGGGGAGCTGGTGGGGCTGACTGCAGGCAAGGAGCAACATGTTAATGGTGAGCGCTGCTGCCTCCCAGCCAAAACTGTGAGGGCTCCTCCTTTAGACCCTTACAACACTTACATCCAAACTTAACCTGACGTTGAAGCTCCTCACAGCTATGCCTAGAAACCCCATTTCTCTGGGCGCTGAGGTGGGGGTTTCTGGGGGCTGTTGTTAAACAGGTTGGCTTAAATCACCAGTGGTCTGGAGCGGAGAAGTCGTCTCATTTGCTGCAGTCTCCAAGGCGACGTGCAAGTCACTTGAGGTGGAAAAAAGCATCTTGCATATGGTCATGGGGAGCTGACATGCTGCACAGAAAAAAACAATATTCTTCTCTCCCTGTCTGGTTTATAGCTGTGGCTTCGCTGGGTGGATAAGTTAAGAATTTGGATCGATTTCTACAAAGCAGTTCAATTAGTAGAAATCAGGAGACTATGCCCTTCTTATCCGTTGGTGACTGTTTTATAGATTTATTCAACCCAGGGAGCAAAATTATTAGTAGAGATTGAGCTTAATTTGAAAATTGTTTATTAGGGTGAGTGAATAGCTTCAAAATAATTTCCACTGCACAATCCAATTAATTTCCAGGTATGTATGCTTACTTATGCCACCCACTGAGGCAATTACAAAGGGGGGGAAAGTAGTGGGGATTTTTAAGCTAACCATACTATCTGTGTATTAATTTCTTCTTGGTAACTGAGAACAAGAACTATCCTGTCATACTGACCCCTTAAAAATGTTACATCAGTAGCCTGCAGTGCATTAAACGACCCAAATAGAGGGATATGGAGAAACTACGGGGCTCAGGATATCTGCAAACAGAGCTTCCATTGTTGTTGCTTGAGGGTAAAAGAGAATCCAGCCCAATTGCTTAATGGGTGTATGAGGTTTTCAGGAGTTGAGGATCACCGGGAAAGGTATTCATTGCACCTACACAAAGGATGCACAGTAGATATTAATTCCTTCTTGTTCTGCATCTCTTCTAGGGCTTACCGGGCTCTCCAGGACAACCTGGGCCAAAAGGCTCCAAAGGAGACCGAGGAGAGAGAGTAAGGTTTTACATACACAGAGAGATTCCCAGCAACATCTGGGGTGATGCCTCAGAAATTGTATACAGCATAGGTCTTTCAAATTCTGTGAGACTACAGCCATGAACAATTTCAAATGTAGAGTTTCTAGGTCTTCTGCAAGAACCAAGATGAGGGTTTACTGTACAGATAAAGCGTTGAATTGCTTGCAAAGTCTGGTGTTCCCTGAAGAGATTCAGGTAGCAAATACATGGTATATACAGACTTGTGAAGACCAATTTTCTTCTGCCAACCAAAGCTCTTTAGCATGGAGTATTTTGAGTGGTCTAACTGAACTCTTCTTTCTGTGGCAATAAGGCAGTAAAAGCTCATCAGACTTTTCCTGAACCAAAGCCATTCCCCAGGTCAAATGATGTTCTTAATATATTTGGAATGCTTAAATCATGTTCTTACTATGTGTGTGTGCTATACCTGCATCCTTGATGGGTTGTCCAGTGCTAATAACTAAGCATAGAAAGAAGGGCAGTTATTTCCAAACTGTTGAAGTTTAGGAAATGCCAGAGAAAAATCTAATAAGAATATAAACGTGTCAGATTCCCCATCCAGCGTTCAAGCACCAGGAAGCGTTTCAAAGTGGCATTTGGGCCTTCAGCTGCTTCTGTTCAGCTTACTCTCCAAAAGGCCATGGTCTTTGAAATCTCCTCTGAGAGACACTAGGAGCACAAAATCATTTGAGAATGTACTACGTGGCGGATGATCATTCAGCAGTTAGATCTGCAAACTGTAGAAGTGGGCACAGATGGACTGTGGACAATCACTAAAACCCTAGTGTGGAGCAGAGTCAAAGAAAGGAAGAAAGATAAGGAGAAAAATATTGGTTGGTACCTCTAAAATAATGGACGTCTGCAGTGGTGGCTGTGTTGTCACAGCCTTATGCCACAGCTGTAGGAAACCAGTTCCCTTTTCTTCCAAGTGCCACTTTTACCATCACATAGATGGAGGTGAACGTGGAGGTCACCACCTGTAAATGGGTGGCTGTAGATGACGTCCTTCCTCCATATGACAGCATCTCCACTTCTTCATTTCTGCTCACTCTTCCAGTCCAAAAGACAGAGCGATGTCTGAAAGAGCTAAGACAAATGCAAATTGGTTAACTCTAGTTTGATGACTTCCCAAATTCATGAGAATAACTAGCAACAGACTTAAACTATGTTCCTCTGTCCAGACTGTGTGCGAGGAGAGCAAGTCCAGGTGGCTTGTTGCACTCCCTCCTGAGGCACTTCACGCTAAGCAGCAGGATATCTGAGGATGGAACACGTATGCTTTTAAAATCGTCTCTGCATATTGTTCTGGGTGCTTGGTCCCTGTTCTTACATAACAAATTACTTGCAGCTCCCTGAAAGACAGAGACCATTTTAAGCGACTGCTAGAATTTTTTAGTAACAGTTTTCTTGTGCAGATCAGCCACTTTGTGCATGTATTTGCTTTACTAATAGATTAGAGACTGATGCATTTCTGGTACTAGAATTTAAGATTCTGATAGAGAGCAAAACCTTAACTGATGAGATTTTAACATTTAATGGCAATGAGCTGCAACCTGTGTTAATTTTCAGTTAAAGTTAAAAAAAGAAAAGGGCATGGTATATGGCAAAATGTCAAGTTTCCATTCAGGAAACTGATAAGAGCTCTTCCTCAATGATTCATTTAACATTTTCTTTTAGTCTGTGGTTGATTATATTGCTAAGACTAAACTTATTTTGAAACAAAAGCTTTGTTGCACTGTGTCCATTCAGTACAGACAAATCCTTTAGACTTTGATTTTGCTCCCTCCCTGTTAGATATTCAGAATTGTAACTCTCCTCCTAGGTTTGGGACAAATGAGATTTTCAAGTATCAGAATGTCTTGCTAAACAGAAAAAATAAATTCTATTTCCTGTCCTTCCTCTGTTAGTGTGGAAAGTGAAGCCAATATTGCTGTTTCTGGTAGAATTTCTGTAGTATGTTCTGTGTGCTTTTTGTCTTTTGTGAGTGTGGATTTGAATGCTGGTTTTGACAACTACATGCTGCAATTTTGGGTTTGGTGGATAGAAATTAGAGCTAGCTTTACATGGAGCAGAGGAGCTGTGCAGCTGCAAAGAAAAGCAGAGGAGGGTTTACAATATCTGTTGAGATTTGAGAAAATGTTTTATACATTCTTCCTGCTTAATCTCAGAGAGAACAGATGTAGAAGAGACCTGAAGCAGTCTGAGTGCTTCCCCTGGCTGGCACATCTATATGTGTGCTGCTCACGATCAGCCTCTGTTCATCTTATTCTTAACCAGTGCTGGTGAGGGATACACCACAGGCAGTCTGCAGAGGTACAGCTAGTGAGGGCCTGGGATAAAAGATATTTCTAACATCCAGCCTAAATATCCTTTGATCCCCTTTAAGCTGATAACATCCTTTCCTGTTCCCCCTGGACACAGAGAACAGTCTGTTTATGTATTTTGAGTACGTTGCTATGTCTCCTCTCCATGATTTGCTGCTTGCCTGTGCTTTTTCACAGGCCTTACTCCCTCCAGTGCAGAATCCAAGTGTTTCCCTTTGAAGATGCTCGGAGCACCTGACAAACTGGGCCTTCCTCCCAGCGCTCTTCATGTCGGTGCGGGCCTTTGTCTCGTGCTGGCTAGCTGCTCGCCAAGCACTGCACAGCTCACCATAGTAATGGTTTTTAGATGCCCAAGGCCCATTGATTTTATACAAAGCAGCGGTTTGATGGACACAATAACAAAGCAGCTCTCCCTTTCTGGCAAATACTACAAAAAGCTGCAGCCAGCTAGGTAGTTTTTTGGGGGAAAAAGGATGGGGATGTTTCTGTGTATGTCTAGGGGAGAAGAGTCAGGTTTAATATGTGGCTGTTCCATCAATGGATTTCTAAACATGCTTTTAAATTTTGCCGCCTCTTCCTGAACTCCTGCTTTCTCATGAAATAATCTCTAACTGTTCTGCTGGTCAGGGATTCTGCCCTGCCCCAGCGCGCGCCAGGGTGGGAAACCAATGCTGCAGAAGAAAACGGGGAAAAAAGATGCTCAGTTAGATGGCATTTCATTCCGACCCAAACCAACACATACCATTTCAAAATCGGGGTGGGGGGGAAGCAACCCACTGAGAACAATGTGATAATTAGCACAGCAGGAAAGAGAAACAAACCAACCAAGATATTGTACCTGTGTTTTGATCAGTAGCTGTTGGGGTTGACGCAGGGATGTGTGTGTGGAGCAGGATGCAGATTAAATCAGTGCTCTGCTGTCTGGGACAGCATCAGCCCATCAGTTTTACTACAGAGAAGAATGCGGTATCTTTGTAAAGATACAAATCTCCAGCCAAATTCCTTCCTGGTATAATGTAACTGACTGCTGTCAAGTACAAAAAAATTGCTAATCGTCTTACTGAGAAGGTACTGAGCTGAGCAGCTCTGTATCAAACCAAACTTCTCCAAAGTGTGATGGGATTTAGAGCTGATACTTGACAGAAAACCATGACCCTCTTTTGCTGTCTCTAAGTGATAATGTCAAGGGAGAGGAATTTTTTTCATATTATCCCAAGTGTAAGGTTTTTCATTAAGCCATCTCAATTCCACTAGTAAAAATTACACTATGTTCTTGTCAAATGGAAAAATATCTCCTAATGACACTTACTTTATTTCCAACAGGGCCAAGCAGGTCTGACTGGAGAGAGGGGCATTAAGGGATTTCCTGTAAGTGATGTACTTGCGGGTGTGTGCAAGACACAGATGGGTTTGGTGCCTGCTTGGCACCGTAAATGCCACCTAGCTGGACTGAGCTGGTTCAACCAGCTCGCTCAGATGCAACGCTTAGGTCAATTGTCTCCAGCTCAGACATTTCTTCAACAGGCAACCTCACCTTAATGTATTCCTCTGCAAATGAAATGTAGTCTTCCTGCATGTGAAGTGTAGTGCTGAAACACTCTGAAACAGAGCAGACACGCTTTGCAGAGCCCCTCTAGCCAAACCTGGGCAGACAGAAGCCCCCCCTCCCTGCCCCGTGAGGGTCCTGGCCCTACCAGAGCCCAACAGTGGGCACTGTTAAATGACTCAAAGTACATCAGCTGCTCTCAACTCTCTCTTGCACCTTGGTCTGGCAAGCTGAGCTGGAAACCCTTTAATCAGATTAAGCGATGTCTCCAAATGATTTCTTGGCAATACCTGAACAGATGTACACAGAAGATGTCTGCACTGGCACATATGGCCAGGGTGCAAACAAACTGATGTAGATGACAGTTGGCTGAAAGTGAGCTAGGGGAGCAAGTTGGGGGTTTTTTTTTGGCTGGCAGCATCCAGAGAAGTCGTAGGTCCTCTGGGAGGTTTTGCTTCTCTCTTCCTTAAGTCTACCTCATCATTTCCTATGATTCACACAACCTTTTCTTCAGTCTATATCCACCCCGGTTTGCAGTTATCTCAGGGATGTCCAACAAATTTGAGGAGCCCAGGCATTTCCACTCTATTTTATTTACCAATTTGTTAGCCTTGTTTTTATATTTAGCTTGTGGTTTAATCTCTCCATGTCATCTGTTCTTTGGGAAATGCATGAACTTCCTGGTTAGAGGGGAACATCAGACTGATATTCACAGCACATAGGGATCTTTATTCAAGAAAAGCTTAATGAGTATCTTCAGAGGCAGAAAGTGATGTGACTAATTAATGAAAGCAGAATGGAAGATTTATGTTCTAAATCAAAGATGAACACATGTTGGAGGGGAGCAGTATTTTTATCTCAGTGTTTTAGCCTAAAGCATTACACATTGAGAGCTTCAGGAGATGTTTATAGTCTTTTTGTGGGCCCAGGCCATGGGAGCCAGCCCCTCCTGCAGCTTGGCCACTCCTGACCAAGTTCTTCAGTGTTAGAGATGGTGACGAACCTCCTGGGAAGCTGGTGGGAGCCAGGACAGAGCTCATGCGAGCACTTTGGCCCTTGGCATTACATGCCTGAGAGTCAGTTTGGTTTCTGCTGGTGAAATGCGTCTGCCTTTACTTTGAGCCTGTGGAGGGAAGGGGTGCAAATGATCCTGGACAGGATCTTCAGTCACATGAGAACAAATTTCTGTTTCTTGTTTGTTTCAGGGTGAACCAGGCAAGAAGGGTGAGGAAGGTGACAAAGGTGCTGATGTAAGCATGTAGTTCTACTGTTGTTTTATTTTCTTTTTTTGTCTCTTCACTGTCCTTCAAGCGTATACCCTTTGGCAGGTTGGGTTGTGAGGGAGCAAGGGTCACGCCCACAGTTGAAAGTGCAGCGCAAGCAATGATGTGAACCTTGGGTTTGAACTTAATACATGCTAGAAATCCTGATCTTTGGGATTTCCTTGGCCATGTTGTCAGCTGCCCTTCTGACCATGCTCTCTGCCCCCCGTGGTTGTTCTGCCACACAGAGCTCCCACAAAGGTAAGGAATTAACCCCCCCCCACTGTCCCTCCCACATGCTGAGGGACAGACTGACTTCCAGAAGACAGCAAATTGCATGTGCAGAGTTGGAGTTCTCACAGCTCAGGTCTCCCACCATAAAATAATTCCCAACATCCATCTGTCCCTGCAAGACCTTATCTAAGGCAAGGGGGAGGGACAACCCACAGCCTGAGTGTATGCGAAAATATGTGGAGCGGCTTCAGGCAGTATGTGTCCCAGCTAGGAGCTCTTAGAGACAGTGTGAGGTCCATCAGGATGGGCTTGTGTGCCACTCTTATAAGGGAGCGACAAGGTGGTGCTCGCCACATGTCCCAGTTTCCTGGTGTAACAATGTAGAGAAAGACCAGGTACCACACTGATGTTCAGAATAAATCTCTGACAAAAGCAAAACCTATTTTCCAGGTAGGTCAGCATAGTTGTTAACGCAAGTTGCACAAGTTGCATGGTATGAAAGTTTGACAGGACTATACACCCTGGGTTTGGCCCACTGCAGAAGTAGGAACCAAACTGAAAGCCATGGCTTTGGGTCAGAGGCTCTGCAAACATGGGGTATAACTGAGGAGTTTTGCTTTAAATAGGGGTTTCTCCTGCATTCCTACTTAACCCTTGTAGGTTATTTCCTCTTCTACATCTTTTTTTTTAAACATCCACACTGCATAATTTTGTGTCATGGAGGCAACATTATGAACAAGCAGCCTATTCTGCAACATATTCCAATGTTAGTGTTCTTCTCCTTCTTGCAGGGGGAAGGTGTTCAACAACTTCGAGAAGCTCTGAAGATTTTAGCCGAGCGGGTATTAATTCTTGAGCACATGATAGGAATTCATGGTAAGCATCACTATGGTTTTGTTTTCTAGACAACTGGGGGCTCTGTTCAGGCAGCTGCTTGATGGTTAAACATCCTCCCAGTCTCCTAAGCTCTCTGTCTAGTATCTGTTTCGGCCAGGTTTTCAAAACTAGGTACCCAATGTGACTTAAAGAATCCTTAGAACTGTTGAGGACTTAGAGCTTCCACCAACTGTACTAGTTACTCTGGCTTTACAGTAGCAGATGAAATGACCCCTGCAGTAATTTTTATTACAACTCAGCCAAGTCACGAGCAGCAGCTCAAGCCATGTGGCACAGATCATCTACTAGCTTCCCAGGGAGCTGCTCATTCAAGTCTGTAGGCCAATCATTTAATCCTGTTGATAGTGTCTTCCAAGTGACTTCAACACCACTGATGCCCTTGCCTTGTGTAGCACTATATTTTACAGAGAAACCAAACAGTGCTACATGTTACCCTGAAAACCAGTGATCCCTGAATGTCTTGTGATTATAACTTACATAAAACCTATTTTCACAATCAGATTTAAAGAAAGTCTCATGTGTTTTTTCATTCAGATAGATTTCTAAGTTTTCTGTTGAGGCTATTATTTGCTCTCTCATCCCTCAATGCACAGGTTCTTCCCTTAACCAGGGTGTGGGTTTGTGCAATTGTCACAGATCAAACTTCTCCCTCTGGGGTACTTGAGCCTGACTTACTGCACTGTAAGAGATGCACTTTAAGGCAGCATGCTTTGAGATGCCAGGAGTCCCTCAGAAGCCAGCACAGTGCTACAATTAAAATGCCATTGGGCACTTCAAAGCCAAACCAGTGTCAGTGCATGGTGCTGTGTTATATGGCTGCACTGGCTTGGGCGGCTGCACTGCTCTTCGTTGTTGAATGGCCACGTGTCTTTGAGAGGCCCAAAGTGCTATTTCCAGAAGCAAGAGGCAGCGATAGCTTAAGCTTTTCGGTAAATCATGAATCATAAACCCATGAGTTAACCGCAGTCGCCCTGACCTTACCTCTGCATTAATGCTAGTTTGCTTCATAGTTTCATTGGATTTCATACACCAAGAGCAGGGTTTATATGCTGCTTTGCTTTGCGATGGTGGAGGCACCAGGAAGGTGCTCAGCAGATCAGCCAGGCAGGAATCCATGCCCAGCCTGTGCGTTCTGTGGGGAAGGGGAACCCAGTCCATAAGCACGGTGCAGCGTATTTACAGGACCCACAACTTGGCCCTCCGTTGTCTTTGTACCTTCATTTGTACTAGTTTAAAGCAAAATAGCAGCTCTTCAGGAAGCTTCTACAGACACTGGGGCTTGGGCTAGGGAATGCACGCAACTTTGCCCCTGCAGAACTGCCTGGTTTATCTATTTTATACGCTATTGGATTTGGCAATACAGTGGCAATGGGGCATGCACTGCTGTTATTTTGAAACAGCCATTTCAGCAAAACATTTTTACTGACATAAATGTATTTTCTCAGGTTGGAGATGAGTTATTTATACCCCTGTATACCTCTATACCAATGTAACTGCATCAGCAATAATGGATAGCTTTTAATTGTACAGTGTAGTTAAAGCTATGTTTAAACACCTATGTTGCATGACTGTATATAAATAGGGGGGGTTTAATCCAATAACAGTATAGATAATTATATTATTATTCTGTGCTTTTTGAGATAGTTCCAGTCTTTAAATTAAGACATATTTTTAAGCCCTACAAAAATACTTTTTAGAAAGAGAACTTGGACAGTAAGGCATTTTTTTTCCTTGTGCAATTGTATTCATCCCTCTATGTGTACACAGTTAAAAAAAAAAACACCAACAGAAAAAGACATAAAATAACAAAACAGAATTTCCTTGAGCCCAGACCTCCCTGCAGTGAAAGTCACCACACAGGTTTAAATCACCCAGCATCAACGATCTGGTCATGTTCCCACCGTAGGTGTTAAGGATTTTACCACAGGTTCCTGGGCAGTCCAACTCAGCCCAGCTTTAAAGACCCACACAGAAATGCCAATCGCATGCTCTCATTTTCCAAAGAAACTTCACAATCAGTGCGGTTTCCAAAACCACAGCCACCCAAGCAACAAGGCAAAACATACCAGCAAACAAACCTCTCCTCCGCCATAGGAGGCCAGTTTGACATTATCTGGCCTAGCAAACTGCAGAGAGCAGCCCAGCAGGACACATGAAAGCCCAAATTGTTTCCTTCCAGCCAACACAGCACAAATCCTCCAGCAGCCACACACTCACTTAAAACAGAAGTGCTGCCTCGTGGGATCCAACCAAGGCTGGGTGTCTGGCTTGCAAGGTTGGGCTCTTGGCAGGGAAACAAGCAAACGTCCATGTCGTAAGGCAAAAGGAAGAAACTGGGGCATTAAAAATTATGAGGCAGCGTTGAGTTGACTGCTGGGAAAATAGAAGAGTGGTCGTAGTCAAATGTGTATTTAACTTCGCAGGGCAGGACACTGTAGGTAGAGGTGTGTGTTACTGTGAGGCATGCTAGGAGAATGGACAGCTAATATTTATTCCCAGCTTTATTGCTAATTTGGCTGTAGCCTAGGGTGGATGAGTCCTTTCGTTCAATCTTTCCGGTGCCTGAAGATGTCCTCCTTACAAGGAGCGAAATGGTACTTAAAGCCCCAGGAGCATCACTTCCCAGTGACCGCTTGGCCTCATCCTTCAATAACAGGAGTCTGTAAGCAATGCTGAGTAGCAACTATAGCCCAAGAAAAATTATAATCAATAAAAGACCAGCGCTTTATAAATGGAATTACAAATGAGAACAGGACCTGCTGGGCCACGTGCAGTAGGAGTACTTACCCCAAAGAGTTTAGACAGAGCAGAGGCAGAAGACCTAATATAGGAGTAGCGTGATAGCAGCAAACACGTAGCTCCACAATTGCTTGCTAGATGGAAAGGCAAGAGGAGGGACGACACTTCTTCCAGAAGAGGCATCATTCAGAAGGGCCCATTTACTCTTTCCTTAGCCTCCCCTTTTAAATAGCGCTCTCCCGTGACTTTCTCTCCTTACAGACTCTTTATCTTCCATTGAGCCAGGCTCTGGACAAGACGTGATCCCGGGTTCCCCTCTGCGAACCAGCATCAAGATCAAGCGTGGAGGACCACAGCAGCCACAGGCCTACCAGATCCTCTCTTCACTGCTGGATGACAGTGAAGCCAAAAGGAGAAGCAATCGGATGAAGTAGGAGCATCTGCACGTTCTCCGTGCCTGTTCACTAGTTAAAGATACAGTATCCCAGTGCTTAATTGCAGAGTGCAAATGAAGTGGGTAGGAGCTTGCAGTGTTGGCAACTGCGTTTCCTTACCTGGCCAATACTATGCCCTTATTGCAGGGCATGTCTTATCCATAGCTCAGAGAGGGTCTTATGAACATTTGTCTTGATTTTCTTGTTTTGCCTTTGGAATACGAGATGGCAGGTATTCTCAGAAGCTGTCTACAGAAATGACACATCCTGACTGTGTCTCAAGAGTTTAATCCTCCCCTTGTTTCCTCACTGCCCTTGAAAGTTACTCAGTTAAGGCACTGCTTAACCAGCTGAGACAATCAATCCCATCTAGACTCAAACCCAAGCCTTAACCTTGTCCATTGATATAGTTGGTGGCATCTGCTTTTAGTTCATGTGGTGGTATCATGCTGATTTCCAGGTGAAGATACCACTTCATAGGCCGTTAAAGCATGACCTGCAAGGATTTCTTTTAAGCAAAGAACAAATTGGAAAATTCAAAGAACATTTAAAACAGTTACTCTGAAAATTCAGGTTACTCTTTGGACTTTAGCATCAAAATCTTGCTAATTGTGTGTGAGTGGCATTATTTCGATCCGTGGTTGGCTAAGAAAGGACTTTTGATGCAAATGTTCATGGCACCATTGACTTCCTATCTATCTACAGTGAGATTAGACTGTTTCTGCGAAAATATAGAGCAGTTTGTATGAGATATGATGAATTGTGCAAGAATTTTCCCATATTGTGTTCAGCTTGTGCATACATCCAGAGATAATTCAGTTAAGTAGTAGCAATAACTATTCACAGAAAAGGATATTTAGCAATAATTTCTTAATCCTACATCAATAAGGAAAAATGTTTTCACACTGTTTTGTTTTTATCTTGTTAGTAAATCCTTGCCATTTGAGCCTGGAGACAGTGTAGTAGCAAACCACAGCCTAAGCAATTAGAGTCCATCTTGCACCGCAAGTTAAATACAAAGTCATTTTATTTTTTGCAATAACTTGTTATTTTGGGGGAAGTCCTAGGGTTAAGAAGTTGAACCTGCCCTTCAGTGGCAAATGAATCACCACACCTGCTGTGCAAACCAAATCAGACAAGTTGACATCATTTGTATAGACAGTGATTTTTGTTAGAAAGGGTAAAACTAATCAACAGAACTGATGGTACTTTTTTTTTTTTAATTCACACACCCCCTACCCCTTGTTCTGACAGTTTTCAAATTCAGCCCTAGCTAAAAGTAAGCAAATTGAGTTTGCATTTGTCATTTTATTGCATAAGTCAGGTACATTGATCACATTCTATCTGGTTCCTAATGCAAGGTACAGCTGTCTGCACGGCTACAATATTTGTGTCAAAAGCTGTTGCAAAGACCAACAACTGTATGGTCCGTGCATCAGCAACCCTTGTCATCCAAAGTGATCTTCCTAAGGCAAAACCAGAAGACTGGAAATGAGGATTAAAATGAAGGAGCTCTGCCAACCCAACATTAGCCACACATTAAATTAACTTTCCATATATACTGTAAACATGGTAGACCTACAGGGACATCAGAATGTCCAAATCTTTCCTCTAAGAGCATTGTATTTTCAGAAACGAGCAGGTTACATGCTACTTCAGGATGACTGAATTCACTGTATGTCTTCATTTGGCCCTGCTCTTTAGAAATCCAACCATGTGTCCCAAAGCAGGTGAAATGGTGTAAGTGGTGCTGAGCAAACACCAGCAACTTGTCCTCGTACAGAAGCTTTTTACTGCTGTGCAGGTAAATAATAAACAGCCTTGGTTTAAGCTGGCGTGGAGGCTGCAGTAAATGCGTTTCCTTGCCCTGCTTTTAATCCTCGTGCTGCTTGGCTAATGCCAGTGGTGGAGCTCGTTCAGCAGTCAACCCAGGTAGTTCAGTTGTACTTCCGTATGCTCAGGTTTTGCTTTGGACGTAGCAAAGAAACAAGACCAAAGCACTACAAAAGTCTGGGGAGTTAAAGAAAAGGTACAGTCAGGTGCTGTCTTTCCCCAAGATGCCATTTGAAGTGGATGCAGAGCTTTGCCAAGAGCTGATGCTGCAGGCTCCAGTGTTCCTTTGCCTGCCTGCACTCTGAATTACAGCTGGAGCGTGATACAGTCAGAAGACAAGAAAACAAGTAAAACTGCCCACGTCAAGCAGGTTACTGACCTCAAGTAGTTGTCCCAAATTCATAATCCTCACGGGAGAATGAAGTAAAAGCTCCTTGAATGCATCTTAGTTTCAAATCCAGGACTAACTCTAAATCCAGGACTAACTCTAATGCCAGAATGTATATAAAAGATGCTGAATTAACCCAGTGTCTTAAGCCTCGCAACCAGCTCTCAGCCTAAAACCAGTCACAAATACAAACAGCTCAACTTCCCAACAAATAGCAGATGCCTGAAGTACTGTACACCGGCCCACGTGACAGCAATCACCTGTTGGTGGACAGCTAAGCATGGTGCAGCCACTGATACATTCTTGGAATAAGCTTTCCATTTAAGAATTACGTGCACAAAAAAAAAAAAGAGCCGTTTCCCCATTTACAGGCTGATTACCATGTAGGACTTGAGACGTACGTGATTACCCCGTCGCTGAATCGGGACCATCTTGGTCTTGCTCACATGGACATTACATGACATAGCTGGTGGCTTCCAGGAGCTGACCCCTTATGCCTGCCAGTAGGTGTTGGAAACTCAGTCCCTGGAGACTGAGCAGAAATCCCAGTTCAGTAGGTTGGTGCTGACGACAGTCGCTTGCCACGTAAAGGAAGCGTCCTCATGGCAGCTTCAGGAGCTAAACTAGACCAAAGTAATCTTTCAAAAGGGAAACGGCAAAATTTGGTTTCACTGGTCCTATAGCTACAATTTGGGGAACAGTGAGGGCATTTTCACTTCCTGATGCTTTGGAGCCTTCACATGGAATTGAAAGAGACATTTTTCTCCAAGTTTGTCTTCCTGAAGTCAAAGCTATTGCATTAGCTTGATGAGTGCTCTCTTCAAGACATTCATATTGACTAGGATTTTGGATTTTAAATTATTCAAATCAAATTACTGTCAAGATGAAAGGAAATTTAATGGAAGTTGTTTGCAATGAATCCTGCCGAATCAATTGTCAAAAGACTGGTTAGGTTTGGGTTGCAACCATTTTAATGATTGGCTTTTCCAAATTTCTGTATGAGCTATGTAATTTTTTTTTTTTTCCTCCCCACACTTCTTGCTTTATTTAGCTACATCTCTCTCCTGTGCGGTACTGTATCTTTAATTTGGGTGACAGTAGGATTATACCAAATGGACTTTTTCTCTCTCAGCTGGGGTTTCATTCCTCTCTATTTACAAAAGAGTTGGACCACACTGTTGGAGTTTAATTACGTTTTACAGGTGAACACAGCCTCACGTGCTGACACCAATGATCTTCATGACTAAGCAAACCACTCCAACCACATTTCCCATCTTAGGCAGGATACCAAGGTTCATTTTAGCCAGGTCATATAATGCATCTTGCTGTCTCCATGTAACTTAGAGAGTGGATTTATTTTGAATGCGTGCTCATGTAGAACTATATTTTAATTGAAATGTTTAGTGCTTTATCTTACATGCATACTGTGCAATACCATAGTGTGTTCTTTTCTTTTTTTTTTTTTTTTCCTAAGACTTTTTTGAAATTCTTAATGTTTCTCTGAGCTCCAATGTGTTTTTGACTTGACTTGGATCGGTTCTGGTAGTAGTAACGCATTTTCCTTGCCTTGAGCTAACCAGAAGCAGCAGCACATTGCACAACCAAAAACCTTTGCAATTCGTGCACCCTCATCTTCACCAGCAATCTGGTACATCTGGGAGGCGAAGAGTACTTCTCTCCAGAGTATCTAATTTGCACTTACTGTAACGAATTGATAGCAACCCAGGGAAATCGGAATAAACTAGAGAGAAGAGCCCTCACCTGCTCCCACCAAACTCCACAGTAATTTTGCCATCGACTTTCAAAGGAACAGGCCATAAAAATCAGATCCAGACCTTCAGCTAGCACGGACGGGTGCTGCTTTCAGTGGAGCAGAGCCAACGGCTCACAAGCAGCTTTCTGAGTTTGGCTCTGGGATTGGGGTTCGCTCCCAGTCTCTGCAATGAACTATTTTAACATAGGAACCTGACCGCTGTGACAAAGGCTTCTAAAAGACAATCAGTTTCTGGAATTACTTCTCGATACAATTTATTGGAAATCCCTTCTCCTCCACATTTACACCTTCTGTCTTATTTGAGATTACATTCCATTCTCGTGTTTGGTGGTATAGGGGTTTAAACTACTCGCAGTTTCTGTGACTGAGTTGAAACCAAGCAATTCAAAGGTGCTATAATTGTCCACAAAGCACATTCCCATTCGCAGAAGGAAATGTTAACTTTTTCACTCGTTATTTTACACAGTATTTTTTTATTTATATCAGTGTGTTTCGTATGTGTGCAAATGGTCCCAGCTTCTCTCATTGTAATAAGCTTTACAACCATTTGGTCTTTTATAGGGCAGCCATATGCAGTATCTTGCAATCATGTGTAATTTCATAACTTAGAGAAAGAATAAATCTCATCTGACACGATGAACTCATTTATGGCAGGCTCAAATGTTTGTTGTAAACACAACCCATTTGTTCCACCCCTTGCATGGTTACTTATCTGTTTTCATATTGCTATGTTATTGTTCAAAATATCTATTTCTCTTTATTTGCTATGGGGTTTGTTACTGTATATGGAATGTTTTGTATTCAGCATTTTCTTACAGAGCAGAGTGGGAACAGTATTCAAGAACCCACAAATACCAAAGACCTTTCATGTAATGCACTGAGAAATAAACATACTGTAAATGAATACGGTATCAGGTGTCCTGTATTTACAAAGTTCAGAGCAAGTCCAAGCAAACTGCATCCGGAAATTAGGGCATCTGCATTTCTTTCCTGCCATCTCACCTT